CTGGTGTGTAAATAAAAATAAAGAGGTAACGTTAGTGTGTGTGTGTGTGTACTCACCTAATTGTACTCACCTAATTGTGGTTGCAGGGGTCGAGACTCAGCTCCTGGCCCCGCCTCTTCACTGATCGCTACTGGATCCTCTCTCTCTCTGCTTCCTGAGCTTTGTCATACCTCTTCTTAAAACTATGTATGGTTCCTGCCTCCACTACTTCACTTGCTAGGCTATTCCATTTGCTGACAACTCTATGACTGAAGAATACTTCCTAACGTCCCTGTGACTCGTCTGAGTCTTCAGCTTCCAGTTGTGACCCCTTGTCCCTGTGTCCCCTCCTGGAACATCCTATCTCTGTCCACCTTGTCTATTCCCCGCAGTATCTTGTATGTCGTTATCATGTCTCCCCTGACCCTTCTGTCCTCCAGTGTCGTCAGTCCGATTTCCCTTAACCTTTCCTCGTACGACATTCCCTGAGCTCTGGGACTAGCCTTGTTGCAAACCTTTGTACTTTCTCTAACTTCTTGACGTGCTTGACCAGGTGTGGGTTCCAGACTGGTGCTGCATACTCCAGTATGGGTCTAACATACACAGTGTACAGTGTCTTGAACGATTCCTTATTAAGGTATCGGAACGCTATTCTCAGGTTTGCCAGGCGCCCGTATGCTGCAGCGGTTATTTGGTTGATGTGTGCCTCCGGTGATGTGCTCGGTGTTATGGTCACCCCAAGGTCTTTCTCCCTGAGTGAGGTCTGTAGTCTTTGTCCACCTAGCCTATATTCTGTCTGCGGTCTTCTTTGCCCCTCCCCAATCTTCATGACTTTGCATTTGGCTGGATTGAATTCGAGGAGCCAGTTACTGGACCACATGTCCAGCCTCTCCAGGTCTCTTTGCAGTCCTGCCTCATCCTCGTCCGATTTAATTCTTCTCATCAACTTCACGTCATCTGCGAACAGGGACACTTCAGAGTCTGTGTGTGTGTGTGTGTGTGTGTGTGTGTGTGTGTGTGTATGTGTGCGTGTGTGTGCGTGTGTGTGTGTGTGTGTGTGCGTGTACAGGTTCTCGTCTCAAAGAAATATGCACATACGCAAACAAACGCACTAGCACAAACACACACACACTTACCTCATACATACACAAACAAACATAAATATTTACAAACACACACACACACATACAAGCATATAAACTTATTCACTCACAAAAATAGAAACACACTTAAACAAATGCACACATTCCAATGCATTTTTAGCACATTTTTAAGATACATTTCAGTTAAGTGAATGAGAAATGTTGGTGGTATTTAGAGTGCAACACCCAGCCAGCAGCCAGACTCCAGCCAGCAGCCAGACTCCAGCCAGCAGCCAGACTCCAGCCAGCAGCCAGACTCCAGCCAGCAGCCAGACATCACCCAGCAGCCAGACTCAGCCAGCAGCCAGACATCACCCAGCAGCCAGACTCCAGCCAGCAGCCAGACTCCAGCCAGCAGCCAGACTCCACCCAGCAGCCAGACATCACCCAGCAGCCAGACATCACCCAGCAGCCAGACATCATCCAGCAGCCAGACTCCACCACCAGACTCAGCCAGCACCAGACTCCACCCAGCAACCAGACTCCAGCCAGCAGCCAGACATCATCCAGCAACCAGACTCCAGCCAGCAGCCAGACTCCACCCAGCAGCCAGACTCCACCCAGCAGCCAGACTCCAGCCAGCAGCCAGACTCCACTCAGCAGCCAGACTCCACCCAGCAGCCAGACATCCCCCAGCCAGCCACTCACCACAGCCAGACTCCAGCCAGCAGCCAGACTCCACCCAGCAGCCAGACTCACCTGCACCAGACCCAGCCACAGCCAGACTCACCAGCAGCCAGACTCCACCCAGCAGCCAGACTCCACGCAGCAGCCCCAGACCATCCACCCAGCAGCCAGACTCCACCCAGCAGCCAGACTCCACCCAGCAGCCAGACTCCACCCAGCAGCCAGACTCCACCCAGCAGCCAGACTCCACCCAGCAGCCAGACTCCACCCAACAGCCAGACATCACCCAGTAGCCAGACTCCACCCAGCAGCCAGACTTCAGCCAACAGCCAGACATCACCCAGCAGCCAGACATCACCCAGCAGCCAGACTCCACCCAGCAGCCAGACTCCACCCAGCAGCCAGACTCCACCCAGCAGCCAGGCTCCACCCAGCAGCCAGACTCCCCCCAGCAGCCAGACTCCACCCAGCAGCCAGACTCCACCCAGCAGCCAGACTCCACCCAGCAGCCAGAACAAACAAAACATTAAACTTCAAAGGAAAGCACAAAATTAACTTAAAAAATTAAATATATATATATGAACTACAGAAAACTACAAAAACCTTTGTAGTCGTCGAAATACAAGAAAAAAAAGATGAAACGATAATTTTATGTACGCTAGAAGATCATGCAAAAAAATAAAAATCTTCAAGGCAGCGAAATTTTTCGACAACGAGGCGCCTACGATATTATCGGCGAAAGAGGTGAAGAAAAATCCACAGGCCTGGTCACAGACCGGGCAGCGGGTGCGTTGACCCCGAAACTCTCTCCAGGTATACTCATCTACCATTTTAGAAGTAATGGTAGATGACTGAAATAAAGATTGTTTTCAGAAAGAATGGTAGATGACTGGAATATAAATTGCTTTCAGAAGGAATGGTAGATGGCTTTCTTTAACATGGTAGATGGATGAAGTAGTCTCCAAGAGCGTCCAGCGTGTGCTACACCAATTGTATTATTATTATTATTATTATTATTACAAAACCGAATGATGAGGGGTCGTTCCTCCGGCTCCTAATGTGACCGATACGCTACTCCAGCAGCCAGGCTTTCCGGTTATCAAAGAACCACTGGAGTGAAAAACCGTCCGGTAATAAAAGTTGAAGCCTCAACCCCGGGGAATGTAACAATTAATATCTTATTTATAAACTGCAGATGAATATTTTGACGATTTTTTGGGTGCCAGACCTACTTACTGCATGACACCTTAGAGTACAGATACTCGTCAGGCTCTTGGCACTTCCTAGCGCAGTGTGTTACAGCACAATTCCCACATCTGGCTTCTTCCAATCAATACTTCTTAACCTGTCCAAATTTGGAGCAGTTAAGGTGTCAGTAATATACATATTACACAAGTCTATATATTACAGCCAATGATGTGTATAATTATGTTATATTATTAGCAAGGAGCTAGTAACCCCTTCTCCTGTATACATTACTAAATTTAAAAAGATAGACTTTCGTTTTTCTTTCTGGGCTACCCTGCCTTGGTGGGATACCACCGGTTTGTTGAAAGATTTCTCGCACAGGTCCATTACGGGTGAGGGAACTCATGCATGTATTTGACTTAGAGAGCAGTAATTCATCAGACTTGGTGATAAACACCGACAAATATGTGAGAAAGTCACATTTCGCTTGGTGGGCGAAACATATCCTCAATATATGTCTTGATAATAACACACATGTCTTTCTCACATTTAAGGCCGTAATTCCTATATTCAGCTGGGTCGTTCCAGCGCTATTCCAAATGGTAACAATGCGATCAAACTGTTTTCCGTCCATGTGAACGCCAGCCACTTCGGTGACCTGGTCAAGAGCCAGGTGTTTGGAATACTAATGTAATGAAAGGGGTATGTTAGAGAGCAGGGTTAGGTATAGAGGAATAATAGAGGGCCATTGAGGATAATGCCAAAGGAGGTTCGCGGGTAAGTGAAATGGGGAACTTCAAGGACAAGTGTCAGTGGAATATTCAAGGGAGAGAGTGAGAGGTAAGTTCAAAGGAAAGTTCCACAGGAAGGTCCAATGGGAAAGTTCCACGGGGAAGCTCAAGAGAAAGTGCGAATTGGAAGTTCAGTGGATGCCAAGGAGAGGTGCATTGATGAGTGCAGGTAGGGGTGAAGATTCAAGGGCATGTGCTCTGGTGGAACGTTCGTGGGGCAGTGCCAGCGAGAGTACCAAGAGGAAGTTCACACAAGGGAGGTAGGTGGGTAGGCGTGCGTTATCAACCCCTTGTGAGGAGTGCCACTTGGCCCTCTTCAACACTCTTCACCACCTGTGCCACACTAGTGTATCGTCACACTCTTCCCGCTCCTGTAACCAGACCCTCTCCACTTTCCCTCTACTCCCCGCTCACCTCCCTACGCCTCTGCATATAAATTCAAATGCAAGTCTCATCATTATAAGTCAAACCAGCTTTAGTGTGCAAACTTCCTACAAGTTTCTGAATAAAGTGTTCGAAATTTAATTGAATTTCAATTCCCCATAAACATACGTATTCCCCTTGTCTACCATGGGGATGGTGGAGGTGGGGAAATGGGGAGATATTCTTTTTATTCCTGAACAAGCTTGTATTTAACCGCTTCATGCTACTACCGAATTCTTTGTGACAGTTAGTTTGTCATAATCCATCGCAAATACAAAGTTCTGCACAATCATCAAAGCGCCGGTTCGAAGGGTTTAACAGCCTGTCTCTTTACTGCCTGTCTCTTTACCCTGGTCTGTCACAAATGTGAAAGACAAGGGTAAGCAGACATGCGGTGACTCAAAGACACGCAGACAGGCAAGGTTTTACTTGAAAGACGTTCGGTTCACGGCACGCCTCTATTACAATGAACCAATGAAGATACCCAGATGTTCCAAATGTGTCTTATTCATCAACTTGCAAGCATTTAATACCGCCAATAATGAGAATCATCTCAGACATGGAACTCCTTCTTCTACTCGAAGATTTCGTAGTCGTTATCGGCCTCTCTGTCCAGTATAATTGTATTCTGATGACACATTCCGCAGACCGAAATCAGACATGGTTTTGGAGCCCTCCTTGAGCGCTCTCTCATTTGATCTCTACGTAGAGCATCTCGAGAAGGACTGCTGTAACAAAATAATATCCTGTCACATCACATCGCTTCGTTGCATGGACTACATCCTAGTCATATACCCTAGACGACTCATCCTGAATAAGTTCAAGGACTAATTAAAAGGAGTTGAGCCAT